TACAATGCAATCCTGGCATCCTGAGTCCCAGAGTTCGTCACCAAGTGAGGGGTTCGAGTAGATTTATCCTACAGGATAATCAAAACACCTGGTCGGATGCATCACAGCTCAATGTCCCACACCTGTTAGAACTAAAATTTATTTTCCATGTGTGACGTCAGTGTAGAAGCCTATTTACGTCCGGTTAGATTCTTCACAGTGTTTTTATTAAGTCGGAGTCAGGTGAGCCTCGGACTGCTGCGATGTCATCGGTGAATAAGAGAAAAGTGTGAAGGAAAACTGATCTGAAAATCCCCCGATCACCCTTATTTGACTGTACTGACATTTATTTTAATATTTTTACCCTAGTTATGGATGGTGTACCTCTGACCCTAGCCGGTGTAGTGTTATTTGCTTGTTTGACTTTGCACTCAGTACTTGCCTTTGTATGTTTGAGACTTATCATGAGTGTTTCACCTCCCTATTATATGACGCTGGACTTTTGACAGGGTGATGTTGTTTTACTGCGCCCGACATTTTGTTCTGGTTCAACTCACGGTCGTGCTGTGGTTTGACTGTTTGTCTTTTGACTGCCTACTGGGAACATTTGTTTGTTGATTTGATTCTGGTAGGCAGAGTTCTGATCCCTTTTGTCGGGAATATTCCTATTGACCGACAGCACGTATTTGCACCCGAGAACGTTTTGGACGGTATAGTTGCCTAAAGGCACTGTTGAGGTATTTTTGTAATTTTGATATAACTTATTGTTGCTTTGATAGTACCACAGATTTTTTTACGAATCTACTATTGAATTACTACAAACCGTGTTTTGATATTTTGATCCAACCTTTGGCTGTGCTTCACTCGCGGAAGTTAGGAAGCGGGAACTGGTAAGATTCACGTCAGTTGGCACCACCTAGTTATTTCCCGCGTTCAGGCCAAGATTATTGGATTCTGGCCACTACGGAGGGCACGATCAGAAACAGGGGAGTGACATACGACGCCAGACAGGTTCGAAAGAGTGAAGTTCCTGTGTTCTAAGAGTCACTCAGCTGTGTATATGCCTTTATTTATGCAAATAAAGATAACTGATGTTTTGTGATTAATGGGGACGTACTTTGATCTGAAAGTGTGTGGGACAGAGTTGCTGAAGTCCTCCAGTTCCTCTTACACTCATGGGTTTACGATTGCATGCCAGGGATTGAGTGCTGTTTTCCCTTCTCAGTATAATGAACTAAATGTGCACCCGTTTTCTCTCAAAGCTACCACGATACGCCGTAGATGCAGAAACCTTTAGGAACCTTATAATGGAAAAACTGTGTAGCTGAACTCACAAACATACATGAAAATGCATATAAAGTTCGAATGGGTTTAAAGTATAGGGATTTCTCTCTTTTCCAAGCTGGATTCAATAGTAATTCCACTTTCCAAATCTGCACGTGCCTACTCTTTCTTTTTCCTGCTCGAAGTAACCGCTCAATGAGGAAATCTGATGCTGAATTTCAACTTGAACATAACTACTCAGTGGAAATAATACCTATTCTGTCACGCCAAGAATTACTGAGCTGCCACCAATCTTTCGCGGTTTCTGGAACATCCACGAGATTAAATCAAATACTGGTCAGCAATCTTCAAGTGGGGAACCGCCTGAAGTCTCCTAGCGGTAAAAGAAGCAAAAATATCCTCAACAACTAGTTAAAAGGGAGACCAATTAGCCTATTGGTTCGGAAAACAACTTAACTGCAGTGGCTGCATATTAAGTTTCTCGGACTTTGTGTGAAGTGATCCCTTTATATGAAAGCTGCCATGCGTCAAATGCACTCCTGGATGTAATTGCTTATGCTATTACGAAAAATGCTGGACTAACAATGTCGGCTGGCTATAACGCAAACTTCGAACATTGCACTCTTTTGTCCCCAATAGTGGAACCTATTTGTGTGATGGGAGACGAAAATCCATGCCCGTCTCACGAATTGCAACGTTTTTTAATAAGGCTATGCACGTCAATGACTTGATATGTGACTTATTTAGCTCCACATACTATTTTGTAAACTTTCAAGAATTATCAGTTTGCCGGTGCTTGTAAACTGGTATCACTCGTGTTAAGTCTATTATGTGAGGATAAGAATTATTATTATCTA